GCCAATAAAAACAATGTGACAATGAATGACACTCCCACATACAGTACACAAACCCTCCACTCTGCCTGTGATATAATTAAGGCAGATAATACATTAACTTAATTATCCCCAGGCAGAAAAACACACATTTTTACAAAGTCCAATAAGTATCCCAAAATACAAAGCCCTGATCTGGGTGACCAACATATCCAAAAATCACCCAGATCAGAGAAGGGGTTCAGAACTTTTATGGAAGTCATATTTGACCGACCGCAGGCATGGTCCCATGCCCAAAACAGTTCCAGAGAATCAGGGCTTGCGCCCGGTCTAGTTCGGTAGTTTGCAAATGAACAAACTACCGAACAGAGTGAATAGTCTTACCCTGGAGCTTGTTCCCTTCATCCCGATGACTGATCTCACCGAACAGTGCCCTTCTAAGCTGAATTGAAACGAACGCAGGCTATGTTGAAAGTTCTGCGGTGTTCGGGAGTTTCTGTATCCGATTTCAGTTCCATGAGAATCATGCCCAAACACCGCTGCCTGCGTTCATGTGAACAAGATGGCCGCCACCTTGTGGTTGTTCATAGGAATCACGGCCACCCAGACGAATAATTAGAACACTGCGGTGAGAAACGTTGCAAGTTGTTAATAGGTGTTAACAAGCTCCAGGGTGGTCTCTGTTCGAGCCTGTTTGAAGTATTTTAGCCAGGTCTATTGCAGGGGCCATAGTCACAGGGTAAAAGGCTGGCAAGTAGTCCCCTCCAAACCCCAGTGGCGAATTTGCTTTAGCCATAGTAGACAAAGCATTTATTGTAATAGTAGCTTACATAAGCTGCAGACCACGCTACTGGTTCATATTTACCACTGTACTGCATGAATACATATTAAAACTCTGAATAATATATAAGGTAAACGCACAATCTAATTACTACAGTGCAGCTTGTTGCCAGCTATGCACCAGAACCTCCACCAGTTGATGTGCGATGTCTGCAAGAAGATGTTAAAGTGCTGGAAAGGGAACTAGCCCTCCTCCCAGTGTTAGTGATTGGTCTCTTTGTACAATTTGTATGCTGTGCTTCACTGGGTAATGGCAGGCTTCCCCTGAGATGTCTTATGTTTGCGGAGCGAACCGTCTACTTCAGTTATTTTAACCTGTTTGCTGCTAGAAGAAGAGGAAAAAAAATAACAACTGAGAAGTATCATGTTCTGTATCAGCGTATGAGACAGCTTTGAAAGCATCACTATACAATGTTTTCTTTCATCTCCCTGTATTCGCTCTTTGGAGCTGTGTACATAACAAGTAAAAGGCAAATGCAGACATGACATATTTTGTCAGGCCCCTAGCATGCACCTTGGATTCCAGCTGCCGGAGTCTTTTGAATGGCTGTTGAGCATTGTACATGTTCTTTTGTACGCATTCATCACAGCGGTGTGACGTATGTGACTGGTATCCTGTGTGTATATGATCATTTGTGTAATTGAAGTGTATGTTCACTATAAAATTGCATTACAGGGACACTATAGTGACCAGAACAACTACAGCTTATTGCATTTGTTCTGGTGAGTAGAATCATTCAGTTTTTTTGCTGTAAACACTGTCTTTTCAGAGAAAATGCAGTGTTTATATTACAGCCTAGCACTGGCTACTCCTCAGATGGCTGCTAGAGGTGCTTCCTGGGGCAATGCTGCACAGTGAGCAGCACTGCCATTCAGTGTCTCCACCCACTGCATGCAGGCACTGAACTTTCCTCATAGAAATGCATTAAATCAATTCAACTCTATGAGAAGATGCTGATTGGCCAGGACTGTGTTTGGCTTGTGCTGGCTCTGCCCCTGATCTGTCTCCTGACAGTCTTAGCCACTCCTATGGGGAAGCATTGTGCTTGGCTCAGAGATTCACTTCTGATGATATCAGCCAAGCAGGCAGTTTAGGGGCAGCAGCTGCAGACTTGATTACAAGTCAGATTTTACAAAATTTAGGGAGGCAAGGGGGCCACACGGGGCTAGATGGCAGTTTTAACACTATAGGGACAGGAAAACATGTTTGTGTTCCTGGCCCTATAGTGTTCCTTTATGTCTTGGTTCTCTTACTTTGTCTGGCCTGTTCCCTTTCAAGTGGATTTGTTCTTTTTTTTCTTCTCCTGGTATTAGAAATCATGTTGGGAGTTTCCCATTGACCTTTTGCCTTACAGTCCTGTACAGTTTGCCCAGTCATGTTGTGGTTAGGCACCAGATATGTCTGTCATATGGATCAGTCTGTGTGTGGGGCTGGGGGGTTCAGTCTGTGTGTGTGGGGGTCAGTTTGTGTTTATATGGATCATTTTGTGTGGGGGGGGGGGTCAGTCTGTGTTTGGGGGTAAGGGGTTCAGGGTATGGGTCAATCCATGTATGGGGGGGTCAGTCTGTGGGGGGCTCAATCTGTGTGTGTTTATATGGGTTAGTCTGTGTGTTGGGGGATCAGTGTGTGTGTGTCAGTCTGTGGGTTTATATGGGTCAGTCTCTGTAAGTGCTTGAGCTCCAAGAGAGATACCTCTCATCCCGTGACCTCCCCTGTACCCGATGGATAGGCAGGCTTCTCAACCACCACGGATCTGATTGTGCCACCCCCTCCCTGCAAGGTAAGATGAGGGAAAGGGGAATATTCTTTTTTTTCTCTATACCCCCTGAACACAGTACACCCTGATATAGATCCAATTTGATCATTGTTATATTCAGGGGAACCAAAATTGTTGTCAAGAGCACTTGGAGAAGCATGAATTAGACACCAGACTCGTGTTGGTTATCAAAATAAGCCTCTGACCTTTATTTTGTCAGTTGTGTTTTTATACATTAAAAAGGAAGTGCTTACGTGCAAATACTCATTGAACAGTAGTAGGAAGGGAGTAAAAGGGTGAAGCGAGTACAGATAAGACAGATAGGGATAACAGATAAGTTCCGGGAAAGAGAAGGAACAGACTGATTTATGAGAGACAGCTCAGGTTGGGGCTATCTGCACCCGGAACTAAACATATATGGTCTTAAGTGTCATTTTAAGCATTAAGCATTTCCTGAGTCCAAGTTAACCAATTTTAATATAGGCTATCTAATATGACACCTATAGGCCTGAACCTTGGAATCAAAGTAAATTATTTTACAACCCTCACAGACAGTGAACCCCCCACATACAGTACACTTCCACCAACACAGAGTACACCTTTGCAAACACACAGTGCACCCCTCAAACACATAATCTCTTCACCCACATACACACTTCTTCCCCACATACCTTCACCCCCACACACACATACATACATGCTCCAATCCATTACACACCAAATCATATATATATATATATATATATATACATATATAATAACTACAGCTCCTTAATAAGAACTCAATGCAACCCTAATACACATAAACTCAAAATGCAACCCCTAGATGCACACACACACAAACACACACAAATTGCTATTTTCTTTTTAATTGAAATCCACCAAGCCTTTGGGATCTTTCACTGGCATCCAGTATGTCTACTCTCAGTCTTCCTGCAGTTTCTCTCTGCTTCTCTGCGCGCTCTGTGTAGTGATGCTTGGGCCGGAGTGACGTCATGTCACTAAACATTGCGCAAGGGAGCAGAGAGGAACTGCAGGAAGGTTACTGCTCCCTCATGTGCCGCCTTCATGCTCCCCGCGACGGCCGACTTTAATGTTTCCTGCTCGGCTTAGCAAAGGGCTAACAAATGCCAGAGGTGCCTGGGTGAAATGTCTAGTCGCCATGGCGACCTGGCACCTGAAATTTGTTGAACCCTGTGTGTATATTTATATATATACATACATACACACACAGTTACACAATCCAGCGCACTCGCTAATTCACTAAACAATTATTTCAAACATTAGAGATTGTAATCGTTTTATTTTAAAAAAACCTAACCTAGGCAAAAAATAATGGGGGTTTAGTTACATTATATGATCATATATTGCATAAGCCTGCCACAGTCTAGCCAAATTGTTTTATTTAAAAATACCTCACCTAGGCAAAAAATAATGGGGGTTTAGTTAGATTATATGATCATGTATTGCATAAGCCTGCCACAACGTCAATGTACCCCATCTTTGGCAGGTCCTACTCTAACAGCCTAATGCTTGCTCTTATGAGATTAACCTACTTACTTGGTAAATACTTCCTTACTGGGACTCTCTGCAAGTCAAGGCTAAATAGTGTCCTGGAATGAGGCACCTGTGACAGGGTGGGGTGCAAAACCAAGGAGTTGGCCTGGACTCCTAAATATATAAATCAAACCTCTTGGTTTAATATATATATATACACACAGATGTTTTTGTTATATTACTGACTGCTTCACATATGAGACCAGTAGTTTCATACAACCTTGCTTTATTGCTGGACATTTAATGTATAATCAGTCTTATTATAACTGACAGGAGTAAAACATCCTCTGTGCAGCACTGCATCAAACTAACTGACTCCAGATGGCTGCCATGCTCTCTGACCTGTGAGCCATCACATGGGGTGGAGCTACTAGTTAAAGGGAAGTGAGAGGGCAGTGTCCTACATTCCAGGTATAACATCTCTCTTAAAACAAAAAAATATAACAAGAGCGAAAAAAAAACATCTAAAACCCAATAACAAAACAACAGCAAGAATAATCCATCAGGAACACAGTACATCCACAGGAAAAGTGTCACTGGAGCTAGAAGGCTAGTCTTCAGAAGGAAGTTGTGGGGGCAAATACCCTTCAGGATAATTCCGGGTCCTAAGGGAGGACCGACTGAAGTCCCATATGCATTCCTGAAGTTGGAAACAATCAGGAGGGTGGCGGTGGCGTTGGGTACGGCCACCAGCAGTCAGGGTGTCAGAGGTAGCAGGGCAGGAAAAAGGGGAAGGTGCTTGGTTCAAGGTTGGGAAAATGGGGTCAGGGGCAAGAGAACCCTCAGACGCAGAAGCACAGGCGACCCCGGTAGGTGCATTCAAATTTTGAGATTTAACCCAAACTCAATCCCAGATGTCCTCTGTCTCACTGGATTTGGACTTAGGAAGCTTTTGAGTAAAGCATTCGGGTAACCGACAATGGGACTGTAACTGGTCAACATGTCGTCTGGTAATGAAACCATCTTCCAGGAGAACTCTGTACATCTTGGGTCCCAAGGTTTCCATAATTGTGGCAGGAAGCCACCGAGTGTTGGAGGTTCCATAAGATCGGCTCCAGACCTCTTGATGGACTCTAAAAGTGGGAGACTCTTTGGATGTCATCTACTCTGGTACATCCAGTACCATGCGAAAATCCCCACATATGTGTACTTCCCCATTTGATTTCTTTACTGCCACAATAGGTGATGCCCTTTCACTGTGCTCTACCTTGGAAATGACACCCTGTTCTTCTAGCCGGATGAGTTCAGCTTCCACTCCTGCTCGAAGGGCAAATGGTACTGCCCGGGCCTTGAAGAATCTAAAATGGGCATCCGGTTTTAGCTTGATCTTCACACAGTAATTTTTAATTTTCCCCATTTGATCCTTAAAAACCTCAGGAAATCTCTGTTTCAAGGATTCCACCCATCGATCAATCTGTCCAGATGGGACTGTAAGGTTGTTGCAAGGGTTCTTGATGATGTCTGGCATTCCCAGATGAGCAATCCAGTTTCTACCAAAGAGAGGTTGTCCTCCATGTTTCAAAATATATATCGGTAGTCTCTTTTTCTGACCCTTGTATGATACCTGTACCTTTGCACAACCAACTGGGTGGACGACCTGCATGGAATATGTCTGCAGCTTGATTGGGGTTGGGTGGATAGTTGCCTGTATATGTAGTTGTCTCCAGTGTTTTTATGTGATAACTGAAACTGCCACTCCTGTATCAACATCTCTCTTTAATGCCTTTCCTTCAATGGTTACTTCTACCATCATTGCAGGGTTTGAAGAGTGTAGGCGATGTATAGTTAATGGGTCATTGTTGTCTGACTCAGATGAAGAGGTAGGTTTCTCTAACCTGTATATTTTCTTCTTGGTGTACTGCAGTTGGTTTTTCCTTTACATTTCAACTAAGACAGACCCGTCTGAGGTGGCCCGTTTTTTCCGCAGTGATGACAAGGTTGTTCTTTAAATCTGCATGTTTTGGAGTCATGGTCTGTATTACCACACCGGTAGCAAGCTGGCATGGGCTGGGGTACGAATCTGTATTTGCAGTTGGCCATAGCTGGTGTGACTGCTGCTCTGAAGACCTCCTCTTTTTGCCCCTTCTTTGTAAAACTGAGCGCTCAATGCCGCAGTATCCCTCACAGCCATTTCCATGACTGATGCAATCTCAATCGCCTGTGTAAGGGTGAGTGTCTGCTCTGTCAGAAGTTTCTTTTGAAAGTTTTCACTATTCAGTCGTAGCACATCTTTTCCCGCAGAGCTGTGGGTAGGTACTCTCCAAATGAACAGGTGGAGGCCAGTTTGCGAATGGCCACCACATATGCTTTAATATCTTCCCCTGATTGCTGCTGCCATTGGTAAAAGCAGAATCTTTCTGAAATTTCCAGTGGTTTGGGCTGGAAATGATCCTCTAATAGTTTTAGCAGTTCCACCACTGTTTTGCTTGCTGAGTGTCATATGTTTTAGCTCCCACCAGTGTCAGGAATACAGCTACCTGCCGTTCAGGGGGTATGGTGTTTGCACTGAAGTAAAGCTCTAATCTTTCAGTCCAGGCGCTCCAGGAGCTCTGCTCCCCATCAAACTGACACAATGTGCCTATCAGTGCCATGTCCTGGCTGGATGCTCTGTGGCTGGCTGTGTTTAGTAAGATTACCTCTTATTTTCTAGTGCAGGCTTGGTAGAGCCTTTGTACTTCCTATCCTCGTAACCACTGTTATGGTCCTGACTGCTTCACATATGAGACCAGTAGTTTCATACAACCTTGCTTTATTGCTGAACATTTACTGTATAATCAGTCTTATTATAACTGACAGGAATACAGGAGTAAACCATCCTCTGACTGTGCAACACTGCATCACACTCACTGACTCAAGATGGCCTGAGTCATCACAGGGGTGGAGCCACTAGTTGAAGTGAGAGGGCAGTGACCTACATTCCAGGTATAACAGTTTTATAACTGCCACCCTACTTTTGTCCCTGGCCCCTTATGAGCCCCCTAAGTATGAATCCAGGAGACGCTACTGATACTATGTGACTTGCACCTGTGATACTGCACCGCCGGGTTTCTCAGGCAGACAGCAATTGGCTCTCATTGAGGCAGGAAACTATGCCTGGCAGACCATAGGTTAGAAGGCAAACCATCAAAAACCTTAAGCTACTTACTATGGGGGGCGGGTGGGATGGCAGGGTTTTCCTGGCACCATAACAACTATAGCATACTTTAGTATCATGGACTTGCAGCGATCATTTGAAGAATATCCCTCAGCATTCAGTTTGGCTTGTGCCTATAGTTATTCTCTGTTATTTGTGTAAAGTCAGTTGTCATGTTCTTTGTCTAGCCCCAGTTCACACTTTACATTTCCATTATCTTTTGGTCTGATGCATGTCTTCTTCTTTTGCTCCAAGGGGAATTCAGCTTCACTTAGTCCTTTCCCATTTGCCCAGCCTTTATGGTTACTGACATGACCTACCTGGTCCTGCCTCACATACCTATCTATACTACAATACTACCTATACTTGCTTGACCCCTCTGTTTTGGTGATTTCTATGTTTCAACCTAGTTCCTGGTTCCTTTCCTGACTTTGAGCTTCAGCATATCCACTCAATGCCTCATCCTGACATACTGGTTCATGATTTGATTTGATTACTCACATGGCCTAGTCTAGACTATACATTTTTAGGCTCCTAGGCACCTAGTCATTGCATGTGAGGACCAGTGTAACCACTTAAAGCTGGGGGCTGCAAATTTGGTAGTGGACAGCTGAATAGTAGTCAGATCCTGGTATGCCATATTATACTGGCTCCTAACTACTCCCAGGCTGGAATGTCAATCACAAATTGTCACTATCACTCCTCTACTCCTGCAATCTTACATATGTTCGTTATACGAGTCACAAAGAACAAACAAACCATTTTAATTTTCATAGGCATAATATGTTCACATCAACTTGAAATAATCAGTTTAAAAGGGACATTAGTTTAGCTGGAGCAGACCTGTAATTATTTGCAAAGTACAAATAAAAACATCCTGAGAATATGTGAAGCTAATCAAACAGCAAAATGCTGTAAAAGCAGGGAAGTGTCCACATCTGAGAAAATATAGGCAAAGGACCTCATCTTATTCATATATAGCAGCAGTTAGCCTAGTCTGTTACACTATGTTTGTACAGATAATGTACATGCCGAGAGAAACTGGACCAGCAGATAATGCAGGTTACTATACAGACTCAAACTGAATTTTATTAAAACAAATCACAATCAAGCATTATAAGTAACCAATATTAGGAGACATCATACTTCATACAGCAGATATGATCTCACTCTGTGCTGGAACCATTGACAACATCAAGCTGGAAAACTTCTGAGTTCATAAGAAGGTTCATAAGAAGTAAAGTTTTGTAGTGTAGGCAGATATTCATCTTTATTCATTTTCTTACCATACTTTGTACATATGCTTGTCTTACCAACCATTAACCCTGTTTCTGTATACTGATTTACACGTCATCGGCCAGCCTTTGGCCTTTGCTGTGCACTGTATGTGTAATGTCAATGTCTATTATAGCATTTATGTGTGCCCTGTCAGTGGATGTAAGTGTTTCTGTGTATACCATTGTGTGCACATCCATGTTCCTGTATTTTTGTAATATTCAAATTGTCTACGCTGTAAGAGCTCAGTGAGGCACCTTGCCTTCCTGTTTAGATTTAATATATACACTCTGTGTGACTGGCAACAGGACTGCAACTGGACGGAGCAGGAACATTATATAACGTCAGATCTTTCTTTTACTATACTGACATCAGTGGTGTGGGATTTAAGTATTAAGTCTAAACAGAAATGCAAAGTGCCACGTAGATCAGTGACAGCTTGGCGATGCTACAGGAACTTGCATGTATGGCTACAGTTAATGGATGTAGGTCACCAGCAGGTCCACATCCTGCTTGTGGCTTGGTTGTAGAGTTATCTGAGCTCAGCTCTGCTGGCCTACCACCTGCACTCTGGTGGAGCACCCTCTCTGTGTGCAATCTATGCACTCGCACAGGTCACACACCCGAAGGCTGGCCCTTTCTATGGATTGCATAACTGATTCTAATCCTAAATTTCTCATTCTACCATCAAACATCTTAACAGTATTGCATGGATGTGAATCTCTCTGCTTTTGGGCTTAAGATAGCAAATATAACTTTAATTAAACTCTCAACAACCTACTGTGTAAAAAATGCATAATGATCTAATACTCTGTTCCTCGTATAGCCCTTCCAGTTTACTTATTTCAGACATGTGTCCAAAGTATCCAGTGTTTATAGAAGAATTCTACTACCCAGCTATTTCATACTGCACTCTTCTAATGAACCTTCCAATTGCTAGCCATTATATACATGCTGCATATATAAAAGCAGGGTAGAAAAAAATAAAAACATGTATATTTAAAAAAGAAAGAAGGTTACAAAGGAGAAAAGAAGCAAAATAAGAATATAACTAACTTGTCTAAGAATATATTGAAATGTAGAAGTCCCATCATTCACTTATTACCTGTTATATTTGCAAACATAGAACAATTTGAAAACGTAATAGTCTACAACTATTGCAGTGACGTAGTATTGAACATTTAATATATTTAATTGCTATTCTGTTGATCTAAAAGCCTTTCATTCAAAGGTCTTTCTGTCCTGCCAACATACCCTGCAGCTTCATGTAATTTTCTTTCTAAATATATTTGTTGCATAGTTTGCCCACTCAATTTCTGTACATTATAATAATATCAAATTATTTAACTACATAGGGCACAGTGTTTGCTGGTACATAGCTTTTATATCCTGGGGTATAATTATTTTAAAAAATGACAGATAATCTCTTTAGCATTTCACCTTTTGGTAGTTTTTTCCAGGGATCATGAGCTCCTGCTGACAGTTCCACAAGGAGGCCGGCATAGGTCGGAAGTGGCTGATTGACTATGCTAAAGAACCCTCTCTAATTTGCTGTAATAGGGGAAGCATTGCGTACTGCACATTTGCATGGTGAGGGGCGTATATGATTTGCAAAAAATGACAACTCATTTAGGGAATCTATGT